TTAATTAAATTCAATTATAAAACAGAAGATTAGTGAAATCTCACATCTTTTTCTTCCAATATCTGTATTAAATCAGAGTCATAGTCTGATTTAATTCTTTTACAATTGACTTCTAAAATTGTAAGGGGTCTTACAGAGTTCAGCTTAGGGCTTTGAAATGCTTAAATCCGATCCAGTGTCCCACACAAAATTACTGGCATTTTAAACTTTATGAAAATATGTTTTAAAATTGACAGCATAACTTGTTCATGCAAAGCTGGACAACTAATCGGGAAACTGCCAATTCTTAACAGTCTAATTCACTCTTTCAGAATTTGGAAAAGCTCAAATATAACCGGCCAATTTCCGAATAATCATCTGTTTTTCGTGTGGGAATAGACAAAAACTTATATCAGGCTCCCATAAGGCTTTGAAATTGCAATTTGGAACACAACAGAAAGCTTTGCTTTTTCTATTGCTATTCATTTTTATTGCTGATAATACATAAGAATGAATCAAACGACCCAGATAGAATAGTTTTGTTTTTAAACACCAGAGGCGAGCATCCAGTGAAAAATGTGAATAGATTGTGTAATGCAGTGTTTCTCAACCTCTAACAAATGGCCACCCCCTTCAATAAAACCGTTACCTATTATCACTACCTTCACTTCAAAATTCCGATGCTGAGGACCAAGACTAACACTAAATTCGTACTGCATTGAATAGACTAGGACTAGTATAATGTTATTTGTTTAATTATTGTACGATACAATGAATAAAATATCTAATTATTCTTACTATAATGTTTTACTATATCACCCAGAAAATTGTTTTTCGCCCCCAAAATATAAATTGTTACTAATCGCCCCCTCAACATGAAAAAATGCCCACATGAGGGCGATATCGCCCCTGTTGAGAAACACTGGTGTAATGTATTATGCAAAATTTGACTTTTGAATAAATTCAGTATAGCATAGAGAGAATTTTGTGATATAGGCCTATCTAAATTCATGGCATTTATTTAAATCATTATTACAGCCTCATATATTGTTCTAATAATGATTCAAATAAATATAATAGTCTTAAATATACCACAGATGACTTGTATTTGTGTCTAAAATGAAAATTTTTCTATTTTTCATGTACCTCCATATGTAGAACTCTTCATAATTCGAACTGGCCATTTTGGTAACTTCAAATTCAAGACAAAGACAAACACGCGCACACACACATACATACATATATATATATATATATAATGCATATATCGTATTTACTCGCATATAGGACAAGGTGTGATTATAATTAAAGATCGAAATAAAGAAAATTAGATTTATTAATACAATTCTAATTTTATTTTGTTTAATCACGAATAAAATATCAAATGCATGTAAATGCACACATTGTCCCACAAAAATTACTGACATTTTAAACTTTAAGGAAGAGTCTTGTAAAATTGACAACATAATTTGTTCGTGTAAAGCCGGACAATCAGGAACCTTTTTGCCAATTCCTAAGTCAAATCCACCCTCCGCCAATTAAACTTATGAGTTTCTCCAAATTCTGATTTCCGAATAATCATTTGTTTCACCTCAGAATGGATTAAAACTTATACTGGGCTCTCGTTTGTTTGTTTGTTTGATTATGGCAACACAACACTTGGATGATCTGCCTAGGGGACTGCCTTCTGGGATCTTTTTAAGGGAAAGTGGCCCCTATTTAGGTGTTACAGACATGGAGAAAACCTAGAAAACTCCACTTGGTCAGCCTGTCTGAGTGAGGCGTAAACCCACAACCAAACTTCCAGTGTTCAGGGAACAAAGACCGCTTGGCCACTGGTGGGACCTCAGGCTCTAGTGTGATTTTGAAATTTCAATTCGGAGTTAAATTCAAAAGCTTGGTTTTTCCTATTGCTATTAATCTTTACTCCTGACAATACAAAACAACAATTCAAAACGACCCAGATAAAATACTTTTATTTTTAAACACTAAAGGGTGAGCATCCCTCTAGTGTGAATCATGTATTTGCAATTTTTGCAAATACATGATTCACAAAAATTACTTCAAAAACGCAAAGAATTCTTTACTCGTGCGTATAAGACAACCTAGGTTTTTGAAGCAGTGAAAAATGAATAAAAACCTCATCTTATATGTGAGTAAATATGGCATTCCTGCATAGTTGTCAGATTGGGCTACAAGTAGTGGATTGGGTTACTTTTTAAGTGCCTGCGCTACAAAAATTTCAAATTGGGCGACACGCTACTTTTTGGGCTAGTGATAATTATCTTCAGGCTACAAATCTTAAAAATACACTACTTTTTTATTTTCATATATAAAATCGCAAAACATTTATTGTATTATACAAAACTAATAAAGTTTTACTTAATTTCATTACATTTAATTGTATAAATAAAGTTGCAACATTTAACAAAGATAAAGATACTTTGCTTCTGTTTTCCATCTGTCGTTCGCTCCAGTAGACAATCCAAAAGCACAGAGGCGACCTTGCTTGTGAAATTGTGGATTGTCTACTACCAGCATTATCCTGTTGGAATTGCCAATTTTCTCTCTCCCAATAAGTGATCCAAAAGTTATTAAATTTTGATACAACATTTCTTGATACAAGGGAAACACATGGAGCCTTAAAACTGAAAACAAAAGCTGCAGTCGCTAAGTCTCTAAGTTCAAAAAATAAATCGCCTCGCCTGCGAATGACTTGCTTTGATTTAGAGAAAATTGATGCAGATACACCGAATGTCCATATACAGGGTGTATCAGAATGACGTTTTAAAAATTTGGGGGATTGTAAAGGATGAAATTTTGAACGTTTTGGTATAAGGAACCTATAATCGGAAATTTGAACTAAAGTGTCTACAGCGGTAGGAAGTGCTTGACCGCCCTTCACTTTGGTAGCTACCCTTCCATCCATTGACGTCATGTTATTGCTGCGGATGAAAGACTGTAAACACACAACTACAGTGGTCTAACTGAGCCTGTGTACAGGACGTTGTGTACTCAGTGCTTGTCGTTCTTCAGGTCACCCCTTGCATCCACTGGCGTTGTGATGTAAACACACAGCTAGTCAACGTGAGTCCCTTGTGTACGCAACACCTGTAGGAACAGTTCATAAGCTTACGGAGCGCATCTTTACAGCATTTAATACCATCAGAGGGGAGCGTGGCATCTTACGGAGAGTCGGACAAAACATGGTTCGTCGTTGCACATTATGTAACGAAGTTGGTGGTCGTCACACTGAACATTTACTCTAAAGTAGTGCAGCCACTGATTCGATGTACAGTTTGATTGTACTCTACTGTTTTGTCAATAAAACTTGTCATAAATACTGTATTCTGCTGTTTCATTCAGCATACCGACCTCATAGAACGTGCAAAGTGCAGTAGAAACTTTATACGTATCTCATTTCCGGCTGTAGGTTCCTTATATCAAAACGTTCAAAATTTCATCCTCTACAATCCCCAAATTTTTAAAACGTCATTCTGATACACCCTGTGTATGTATATACATATATTACAAACTTATTTCATTAGTAAAAGTGCATAGTTGCAAAATAATTCATTTTTATTGTTTGGGCTACAAACAGTTCGAATCCGCTACTTTTGGAGCACAACCACGCTACTTTTTAACCTTCAGATCTGGCAACGCTGCATTCCTGTATATAAATTTGGTGTGTGTGTGTGTGAATACCACATTTAACATGTTTGGACTGATCACATTATCAATGTTTTGTATATGTTGATATTATTAACTAAATCAATCGATTCTAATTAATAAGATAAAGTTTTAATCGCACAATTTTTATTTGGCAGTATTCTTAACATTTATGTAAATCATTTGTAAGTCAATAAATTACTATAAACAAACATCAAATAAATATTTACAAAAACAAAACAAAAAAATACATTTTATTTTTGCCATAATTTTTCCCCCAGTTTTACTGTTACAAGAAAAATTTATTTTAGGGAAATTAAAAAAAAAATTCAATTAGGAGTCTTCATCTCTCTCCATATTATTAACTTATGCTCAAAAATCATTATTACGATAGAATTAATTTAACTTCATTAATTATTAGTTATTTTAAATTATATAAAATAAAAATATTTTTCTAGTTAAAAATTCTTTTAAATAATTTGACGCCATATTTGGTCGAATAAAATGCCAAACAAAGGCACGGACTATCTATCAAGTTTGGCGTCTGTTGACGTTAACATTAATTTATACCGATACGGTAAGAATAATTCTACTTTAAATCGATTTTAATTCGATAAAAAAATAATAATAAACTTAAAAACTGACGTTCAAAGGTCGCTTACATTCTTCAATTTTTAAAACTGAAATCGAGAAATCAAGATGGCTACCGACAAGCGAGGGCACAGAATGACGACGATCGAGTAAAATCTATGTTCGTACCATCCCAAATTTCTCATATCCATTAATTTACGTCACATCGCTAATTTTAACTAGTTTAATAAGTATTTATTAAAAAACAGCGTTTTTCTATCTCAATCAACAGTCGCTGGAGCACTATAATGGCGGCGAAAAGACAAGCATGAGGTTGGAAAGTAATGTTAAGCCTGAATAACGTTTCCAGATAATTATAAATAAAAATTGAAGTTGAAAAAATTGTCATGGCAATGAAATGATCTAATTGTCATTTATAAATTATAAACAGATCGAGAACACTTAATACAGAAATAATGAATTCGTTTTACAACGATGTTGATACTACTCAACGTCACAATCTGTATAATAAAAAAAAAAGGAAAAACGTGCTTGCTTCTATACGAGCATTTTTAGGGGTAAAACATTAAAACACTATCTGTTGTTCTGATTTGAGAAAGCATATCGCCTTAATCTGATCCTTCCATAATATAACATAGCAGCCATCTTTAAATCTTTTAAGTATATAGATTTAAAATTTTCAATCATAAATTGGACGGTTTTTGTATGTGATCTTTTAAAACGCAAAGCGAAACATTAGTTAAAATTATCAAAATCCTCGAACCTCTCTCCATTTTATCCGATTCAAAAGTTATCCAAAAACCTTTCGACCGGAACCTCCTCCGTAATATGACAAATAACTTTTCCTAACTTTTTGATACGTGTTCAATCAACGACATTTCTTGTTTTGGAAACCATGGCGACAGGCCATGTGACTACCCGGCGTTTCACAACCTTCGACAATAAAGCTTTTATAAACATCAAAAATACAACGAATAATCCCTTACGACCAAAAAAATAGTAAATTTATTTACCTGATTAGGATTCCTTCCTCTTTTTTCCAATTCGATTCTCTTCTCCATTTTCTTTTCTAATAATATCACTCAAAACTGTTACCTGTTCCGAACTCGTAAAGACAAAATGCCAACAAGCGCGCTCAATCCAATACTTCTCTAGAGGGGTCTGAGCAATGGCGCTTTGACAGAGCGCGCGACGAATTTCGTGACGATCTGTGATGTCATCGTTCAAATAGACCAATAGCAGCACATTAAACCCAATTCCTGACTTTCGACTTTTTCTTTAATATTTTTTGATTTATTGAAATAACTGAATGCAATTTTTATGTATTAAATATTTAAAATTAATATAAGCATGTTGGTATATTTTCACCAATCCTTCAATTCTTAATAAATTCTTTTATCTTATCTGTAATTGAATTGTTTACTATAACAAATAAAATTTGCAAAAACAAAAAACAAAGTACATTAAATTCATATTTATCAAAACTTAATGATGTTAAATTAATGAATTTATTTTTATTTCCAATTTTTAATATCGATGAAAATCGTTATTATTCAAATATAAATTTGATAAGTAGATAACGTTTTGTTGTTATAAAAATTAATAAAATATAAATAGGCTATAATATACATAAAATTCTTATTCAGCCTTCGGTTATTTTAAATAAACATAAAACATTAAGAAAATTAAAATTCATCGTGAACAGACTTAATATATATATATTAATAGTCTAGTCATTATATATCAGGAAGAGTATGCAATTTTCTTTACTCGTCCAGCGACAATTACAAATATCAATGAATGCCAAATTAATTTCCATTAACAGTATTTATTTTTGAAATATGTATAAAATTAAATCAATTGAAATTAACTAAAACAATCATATTTTATCAAAGAGACAAATGAAAGGGAACCGAACAAGGTCGAATTTGGACATTCCTAATAGCTCACCAGAACTAATTCTATTCAATCACCTGACCAATAATTTCCTGAAGTAACAATTCTCTTATCATCTGTAGGATATTATTTATAAAATATAATAAGGAAAAAACAAATATAAGAATATCAGTGTGATAACCCACATAATGTCAAAATGAATTATTTCATATTTTATAAATCGATATTCAATTACAACGATAAGTTTACTATAAAACTTTCATATTTGTTGAACATAAGAATGATATTACACCTTCGATTCCATTCATGTCATACTCTTACGATAATACAGTGTATTTTAAAAATAAATAAATGAACTATATACAACTTGTTCGATTTTATCTTTGGTAAGAATGAATGAATTTAACTTTTAAATCGATCATGCTATTATTATAAACAGTTTCAAGATTATTATTTATTTGCAGAAAAAATTAATGTAATAATATTTATATACTATATACGTTCACAATTATTGACACGTTATTTCATTTTTTTACTTTTTATACTAAACTTAAAACATCGATAAATATCCTGAAAGTTTAAAGCCTATAAAAATTATATTTCGGAAATCTTAAGTATTGTAATGACACCAGAAAAATGATTTTATTTAACATATCATAAATGAAATGACGTTTTGTATTTCATTTACAATATATTTAACAGTTTAAAATTTTTATAACACATAATATTAACTGTGCAAATTAATAGCTATTTATGCAAAAATATATAATTTTTTATTACATCTAATTGCGTTTATGATTTTGCAAATAAAACTCTTTGGAATGAGGAAAAAATAGTAAAATAAGAAAAAATAAATAAATTTATAGTATGAAATAAATAAATAAAAATTTATCTTATAAATAAAGAATAAAAATATTCGATAAAAATATATGAATTAAAAAAAACAAAAAATCCAATTTAAATAAGAAATAATATTTAATGGGTTCGTTTAAAGATACTCTACAGAAGCGTATTTGTGCGCTATCCATCAGGTCCTGACAACGGTTGCTATAGTAACCGTTCATCTACACGACGGGGAAAATAAGGTCACGTGATCGATCCAGCGCCATATTTATTGCCAAATCACTATATTTCATTGCTAATCTGTTAACAGATAAGCGATATTTTCGTTTTAAATACAGAAGAATATTTGTTACCTTTCGTCTTTCGTCTTACTCGACAAATAAAATAATAGAAGTATAATATGAATAATATGAGTAATCCTATCGAGACGCAGTAGCAGTAACATCCGTCGAATGATGGCGGATGACTGGCCTAGTCGAAGATGTTGCATGTTGAGCTGCAATGTGTTTCTTGTGGCTTATCTCACTTCTCCATTAATTTATAGTTAATTTCACATATTTATTTGCAGTTCGATTCAAAATCAAATTATTTTAAATCATAATTATTATAGAAATAAGTATTCTTTTGCAATAAAAAGTAAAGTAATTTATTTTAAAAAAATATCTTTTACGAAACTAACTGATTTCTGATTTTGTATTTATTCCCAATTTCAACCATTGACTCGTGACGTCCTAGATTTTAATTATTTTTTTCATTTTATGGATGGTACTTTACGCATCAATTTCTTTTTCTACGAGAAACGAGATCTAATTTACACGAATATTCGAATCATAAGAAGGAATATGAAAGGATAAATGATGCAGTATTCATAAACCTTTCAAAAAAACAACATGGCGGCAACAACTGTTTTATAAATTTACAAATGAATTTATAATTAAGATAAATTTAATTAAAAAATGCATTCATATTACTTAATATACAATTATTAAAATATTACGCTTTGCATTTATTATTTCGTTTTATTTATTATTATTTATTCATTCAAATGAAATATTAAAAAATTAAGTAGAGAAAATTTTTCTACTTTAATAATCTGAAAATTAAAAAAAAAATTAATTGTCTTCCGTAAATATGTTATTAAACGTACTAAAAATTTCGTATAATTAAACCTTAAATATTATATTTTTGAAAGAAATATAGATTTCAAGTTGAAAAGTGATATTAAAATAGAAAAGCAAAAATTATTCCTTCACTTAAACTTGGCTACTCCAAAATTTATTTATTTATTAAAGAATAATTATAAATACGAAATCTTTAATCAATCTTACGATTATTATTCTGGTTAATTATAAATTTAAATACATTTTATTATTAATTATTATCCAAAATATTAATTTTAATAGCTGTAAAAAATATGAAAGTTACTTATTGATATACAAAATTCATCTCTTAAAATACACACAGGAAAATAAATGCAATAATGGCTTTTTATTAATGGCTAAAATTTATATGAAAATTACAAATAAAAATAATAATTAATTAAAATTAAAACCATATTTATTGTTGCTGATTTTTGGTAATACATCGGGAGTTTTAATTAAATACTGTAATATTAAAATATCTTACATTCTAACTGTATATTGTAAGCTATGATCTTTTTATCATGTTTTATAATATTCAGGTAGGCACTTGTATATACGTAAATTCATTTTATTTCATTGATTGATAATTGGAAACACATACAATTCAGTTATATTATGAACGAAAATGGAAAAATGTATTAGACAGTTTTTTAGAAGCTTCGATTCTCCGTAATTTTTACACTTTTGCTTACGATTTTACAGCGTTTTGGTTAAAATAGTCAGTTCGTATCTTATGACTTAATCAAATTTTTAATTATTATCCTTCAACAAAATGTTTTAAATTGAATATTAATCAAATAATTCCTATGGTTGCAGTATTTGGTAAGCTTTCTCGTATTAAAAGACTCGATGAATCCTAGACATTATTTCATTCGGAAACATATTTTAATTTTAACATTGTATGATTTTAACGTGTTCCAAATTTTTTGTCCGTACTGTTTATGAATGTAAATGATTACGCTTTAATTTTATATATAAACTTGTTAACATTGTACTGATCAGATCATTTTGATTATAAATTATAAATATGAAAGTTTTGCAAATTTATAGGCCCATTATATGATTTGAATAGTTAATTACGCATAGCAAAACTGCGTATGATTGTTCTTTCAACAGTTTTTACTTGTTTTATTTTATTCCTCATATTCCAATACAGTATAATAAATTTTCCAAAACATTTGATTGCTCGTTGTTGATTGTATTTTTTATTTATTATTATTTTTTTAAGTTTTAATACTGTATGCTTTGTGGTAACAATGCAATATAGGCCTACTATATTTATATTTTACAGAAATATATGTTAAAACATAAATTGTTTTTAAGAAAGAAACTCTTTAAGCAACTCGTCGTTAATGCACAAAAGAAAATACCATATATTATTACATTTTTTTCATGATTAAATCTAAAATATATTTNCCATGGAGATCAACTGTATATCGTAGGTACTCTACAGCAGTGTTTATAGACTTTTTCCTCATCGCGGACCAGTAAAATTATGCATGAGATTAAATAGACCAGTAATTATATGCGACTATGAATGATGCTTATTTATTACGCTTATATATGCTTATCTGTAAATTAATATTTAAATGTCACTCGTAATCAACTGCTCCAGCGTCAGTATGCATGGGCGCTTTGCCTGGTAAAGCGGCTTTAATACAGCTGAATAAGCAATCCAATGACAATTTCAAATGAAATAGGCTATGTCATTTGCTTGTCCAGCTGTATTAAAAACGCTTTACCAGGCAATATGCCCTATAACTTACTGTTTGTTCCATGAACGATGACAACAGTGCACGCGCAACCTTGGCGCACTGTCGTGATTCAGTAAACAAACACCGTCACTGCGAAGTGTCTTTGGCAATTTATTTTATTGGATTGTTTATGCATTCATTCTGTTTCTAACTAGCTTTTGTCACAATACGAGTTTTCTGTTTGGTGATTAGAGCAGAAAACTACTACTATTCTATTTTCTACATTTGGATTTGACAATAAAAACCCCTTTTATTGTCAATGCCAAATGTAGAAAATATAAATGCAAATAGTCAAAATTTCAATTTATAGAATTCTTCATACGAGCTCATTTTACATTCAGAACATACGATTACGTGGAAATAGTCTCGAATATTATATCGATAAGTTAGTATCAAGAGGAAATATTGCCTAAAAGTAATTACATATTATATTTTTAATATTCATTTATGTTAAATAAATGAATATAAATATTCATTTATATTTTTAAAACATAATATATATATATATATATATAGGGGAGATCGGGGCAACTTCGGCATGCGGGGCAAGTTTGTCAAGCGCTTTTTTTAAAAAACAAATTAAAAGGAGACTTTGGTTATAGGTTAGGCAGTTGAGTTTTATTGGTGGCTTGTTGAGTGTAGTGTTTTTATTGTTCTCCAACAAGCGTAGTTGAATTATCAAGCAAATTTTCATTTTCGTTCAATTCCATATAATATTTTTTTTCCATTTATATTGAATTGGCAGGTTTTGTTATAATTCCATGATAACGAAAGTTACTTTTCCTGTTAGAAGGATGTAACTTCAACTTATTCACGTGGCCAGATCGTGGCTTGGCATTCTGTTCTCAGGGTTGTACTTAATGTTTCGAAATCATGACTAGC